TTTTTAACATATGTATTCATTTTCTTATAAGATTATAAGTTGTTTGTGAAACACAAATAAGCCTCATCTTAACTCACACCCACCATGCGACTGACCGCAGTTTAATCACAACAATCTAAGCCACACTATTCAAGTCTGAAGAGTTGATACTATCAGTTACAAGAAAGTTCAAGAAGATGCAGAAAAAATATATGAAAACCTCCCTGAATATACCTGAATGCAATGCTACCATGCAGATTATGTTGAACAAATACAATTACTGGACCAACTCTGTTATTTGGAACAAAATCCCTCCGTTATTGAACTTCCTTATGTACTGAAAACTTTGTTGCTGATGTGTCATCTGGCGGCCCACACATGACTTACAGTATGTCCGGCCACAGCAGCTTCTGGAATCTCCCATAAAGAAAATAAAAATGAATATACTGTTCCTCTTTCTCTTTATCTGCTCAAGTAATGGATTTTAGTACAAGTTTGAGGTACTTGTACTTTACTTCTACTTCACTACAATTCAGAGGTAAAATGTGTACTTTTACTCCACTACATTTATGTAATACCCTTAGTTACTTTGCAGATCTTGACAAATGATGTGAAATATAAACACCTAAATTAGACTTTAGTTACACCTGAAGTAAATTCACAAGCTTCCCAGCTGAATACAAAGTAATTAAAACAACCTGCACCTGTACCAGCTGTGATAAACACATTGATGCATCAATAATTATAATCAAAATATATATATATATATTATTCTGAAATGTACCAATCTGCATAATGAGTACTTTAGGTATATTCAGATGCTTACACTTTTGTACTTTTACTTTAGTAACATTTTGATTGCAGGACTTTTACTTGTAACAGAGTATTCCTACACTCTGGTGCTTCTACTTTTACTTAAAGGTCCCATGTCATGGCCATTTCTACTGATCATAATTCCATTGTTGAGGTCTACTAGAATAGATTTACATTGTTCCAAAATCACATTGGTTTCTCATATAGCATCTCTGTATAGTATGTGTATTCACTCTCTGTCCTAAACGGCTTGTTGGAGCTCCTGCCCCCCCCCCCCCTCCCTATAGAAAGGCGAAGTCCCTCCCCTTCCGGTGGACCTCCATGGGACCTTATTTGGGAAAAATTATGTATTGAAGTCAATGGAGAGAGAAAGATTATCTTTCGATCCCGTTTGAATTGTGCCACGAATTACACATATGATGTTTGTCAATTTAAAAGATAATTTTGCAAGTCAAAAAATAAGAAATGTGTCGTAAAACTGTGAAGTAACACATTTTTTTTGTGAAACGCTCAATGAACTACATCTCTGGTCTCGCACAACAACACACGTCACCAAGATGGCCGTCACTACCGTCTTGCCAAAAAAGGGATTGACTACCCTCACTATCACCACAATGAAACACGTCCAGAAGAAAGTCATGCAAAGCTGCCTGCCTGCCTTCCTTTGATTCTCTCTGAACTGCCTGATCTTTTTAATGTTTAATGTCAACCATTTGTGCAGATAGCATGAAGTAGAAAAGATCGCCCTATAGGATAAACCCTATATATACACATCCATCAGCAATCAATAAAACAAATCATCCAACACAAATAGAAGAAATCTGGACCTATTCTATTTCTTTTTATACAACAGCATGTATTGGGACTGCTCATTGATGTCATCAAGAGCCATTGAGTCTACCTCTCAGAATGTTTATCATTTCTTTGTCTCTTAACATTCCTATAATCATTTGTTTTTTTATTGTTGATATTGTTTTGTTCTTTATTTTTGTTGTGAGAATCACTTTGCAATTGTGTAAGTGCTATATAAATAGTTATACTAATATTATTGTTGTTACCATCATTACTATTATTAATAATGTTTTCTTTGTTTTCTTTATTTATCGCTGCAGAAAGGATCATGCCAGCCCACATCAAACACCTGAGGCCTGTACTACGAAGCCGGTGCAACATAACCTGGATATGTTTGAGTTAGCCGGTTGGCCTAATCCAAAACATACGCGCTCTCGCTAAGCGGTCCTACGACGCGGGTTATCAAGTGGATCGCTCAAGCCAGCCGTGTCCTATCTAGTTAGGTGCGCGTTCACATGAAAGGGGTGGTATTTAGAGCATTCGACCAATCACAAACATGGACAAGCGTACTGACAGCGCAGTGCGTCATACTTCCTGAATGAAAAGTTAACTATAATATTAGACATATGAAGAAGTTAAACTTTAAACATCCATGACTTAAACACGTTATCCAGGATAAAAGCCACATAGCTGCACCTGCAAGGTGAATACAGCTGGTAAAAGAAAAAGTCTTTGAATGCGTACATTAACAGGTTTATGATAAGACATGATCTGACTTTAATTACATTTGACTCGAGTGTTTCGTTAACTTAATGTGTTGCTTAAAATAATACTTCTGCATACAGTATGTGACACTGTGAGTGTTGCACGGCCAGATACGGCTCAAGAAGCTGACTCAGATAAGGAAATATATGATACATTATGATGTGATATGCCGCGGACTGTACTGTTACTTTGATCCGGTTACTTATGTTGTGGCAGATATTTAATTAAGCTTTCTTAACGCTAATGTTATAATAGTCAGATTGCTCTGAAGATGGGAGGTGATATTCTATTAATTTTCACGTTCACGCAGTCAGTGATTTTTGCCAGCCGTCTTTCCTGCAACGGCAGTTTAAACTGTTTTTCCTTTCTCCTGTAATATGACTGGATAGCTTTAAACTCTGCACACTGAGCTCTGATTGGTCAGCAGGCGGTGCTTTCACTGAGTTGAGCTCTTAGCCTGCAACCTAACCTGCTCCGGAGCAGGTTAGCCGCTCAGCATAAGTTACCATGGAGATCTAGCCCGCTAAAAAGAGAACCAGCGTCGTAGGACCGGAAACCCCGAGTTTTCCCTGAAGTTAGCCCGCTAAGCGAAAATCCTGCTTCGTAGTACAGGCCTCTGATCAAGAAGTTCTGAATCTTCAGGCAGAAAAGATGAAAACATCTGTTCAAAGTTCCAGTTTCCTGTACATGGAACCATGCCTGTACTCTGTTCCACATGTCTTCAGTCCGTTCTGGACCCAATGACTCGGACACTAGTTCTACCAAGGCTCATTAGAGGTAAGCAGTGGTAGGAGAGTGGAGTTATCTTTGTATTTAGGCTGCAAGTCGACAAGAATAGATTACAAATCGCTTAAAAAATGGTTCAGACAAGAGGCACCTTACGCAGGTGTGGCGCTGATATAGTCTATATAATATGCGGTTGAACTTTAAAATTAAATTATTTCCGGTGCAGAGACAAACACTCGAGGTGGATGTATAAAGTAAATACTGGTGTTAATAAAATATAGCGTATATCCCTCAATTTATCGACAATAAGAATGACAATACATACTTCCGGGTGTAAAGTAATATATCTATCATACTGTAGATCCTACACATCCACTGGAGGTAGATTCTGAAAGTAAAATATACACTTCTCACTAGAAATGTAATCATAAAGCATTATTATGGCCAAACTATGCTACAATTTAGGATTTTACACTGAAAAAAAGTGTTGGATTCAAGATTCAAAGGTTTTATTCTCATATGCTCAGCAGCTACAGTGTAGAAATGTCAATGAAATTCTTCTGACCTGAGCTCCTCCAACAATGCAACATATATAATAAAATACAAAAATACAAAATAAAAAGTAGTGCAAAAAGTTTATATACATGTAATATAATAGAATATGATATTTACAAGAACAGAACATGAAATTAAATAATGTAAATTAAGAAAAAAATTCAATACGGTGTATTGCGTGGATAATAGACGTGCATCACAGTGAATATTCAAAACTAAAATTTGATACATTTTTCTTTTTCATCTCACAGTGCACATATTTAAGTAATCATAACACAAAGCTAAAAGTTAATCTGTTTTTCCTTTCTCTTTTCAAGAGTGCTTCAGAGGATGGCTGAATTCACAAAACGTTGAGAAGACCGAGAGGGAGAAGTTGGCCGGTTACTATATTTCACAAAAAATACAGGACCTTGTGAAAAGTGGAAAGAAACAGTTGAAAGAAACTGCTTAAAAATATGAAGTAATGGGTGTTTTGAAAATGTTTTCAAATGTGTGTTAATGTTCATTGTGTGTTATAAATTATTTTCCTGCTTCTAATCATTTGATGTACGAGTATTTATTTACAGACAATACATTCTATACATTCTGGTACCTTTCTGGTAAGGTAGGTGCTCTGATCTGAAATGATAGATGTTCATTGAGCTACTGCAATTGGGTGAGAGTGTTTCATCATCATATATGACCAGCTTAACCATCAAGTAATCCCAGCTAAAGTTCTACTCAAGATCATACCAGTCTGACCAGCTAATGGTGACCAGCTAGAACACTGTGACCACCAGCTTTTACCAGATAAACAAGCTATCCCGACCAGCTAATGGTGACCAGCTAGACCACTGTGACCAAACCAGCTATCCTGACCAGCTAAAGTGTCCAAAACCCCTGTAAACCAGGTCAGGCTGGTTTACCAGCCAGACCAGCCTTGTTGGTCTAAGCTGTTTTTTTCAGCAGGGAAGGGGACGGGTAATAACCAGAAAAGCATGACATGGGACCTTTAAGTACAAGATCAGAGTACTTCACCTCTGGTTGTGTTTACCCTGTACTCAGGTAAGAGCAGGGTAAAGGTGCATAGTGGAGGGTGTGGCCACATTACCACAGGCAGACGGTTATCAAAGTGAGCGATCCTTCAGAATAATATTTCTCCACAGGTACACCTGTCGCTTCAAAACTGCACATCACACAACCCAACGCAGCCATTAAAAAGGCGATACAATCCTCTATCTCATAATTTCTTCACTTAAACAACATCATGTTTGAACAGCACACAGCTGAATCATAACTGAAACACACACTGTCTGATCCTCGAGCCGGGATATCTGCGCAAACACAGCGCGCGATCCTCTTTAACAAACAATTAACATGACGTTACTCACCCACCAGACGATGCCATACGCAAACAGGGTGAATTTGAGCAAAATGTAGGAGAATCGGTGACAGTATCGTATCTCTTGATTGTTGGACATCGTGTCTGAGGACAGTTGACTCCCAGGCTGTCTGCTGTTGACACTCACTTCCGCGTTGAGCTCGTCACCACACCTGGGAGCGCGTGTTGGAGTGATTGATGGACAGATTGATAGGAGATTTATGAGATGATATAAACAAAGCGGAAAATGGCGGCGAATAGACAGTTGTATTATTATTTTGTGATGCACATGGATATATTTTGTCGATGACTAATAGCATGAAATAGCCTACATTGGTTTTTGACAGCAGAACCACAACATTGATCTGAAGCCTGAAGCAGGGGTGTGTGCAGGAATAATGGGCTCATTACACTTCCTCCTCTTTTCCTTTTAAAAAACAAAGTCTCATTGATATTAGGATCAGAAATGTGTTTTTTTAACGAATATAGCTATATATATATATATATATATATATATATATATATATAAAGCTATATATGTTTTTATTAATTAATGATGAAGATGTATTTGTCTTCCAACTGAATTGGGTTGCCAATGAATATCTTTGTGAGTAGCAAATTGCATGAGCCTAAAAACACTGTAAATTGTGTGGTCGTAATATCTTTGTTTATTAAGTGCCTTTCTAAACAAATTACAAAGTGAATGACAACAATTTAAAAAAGACAATAATTTAACAGTTAATGGAAAATACAAGTATATACACAACACAAAATGCTGTTTAATTAAGCTTTATCAGTCTCATATAACAGCTAATTAGCACACATGCAGCACAATATGGATCTCAAAAAATGTAACTTTGACCCCTAGTGGTGAAACACAACAGATAAAACACAAATAATTGACAATCTGTGAATCCTTCAGAGGACTTACTTACTTACTTACTTACTTTGAAGACTTTAAAAATTAGTACCACCAAATACTGCTGTTTTTTGACTGCTCTGCCTTTGTTTAAGACTCATACACGGACCAAAATGTACACATTATAAATATAGTGTTGAGTTGATCTTCTTTGACTGCTAAATAAACCAACCCAAAACCTTAAAAACATACATTGCAGACATTGTCGTCTACACATCACCTTGAAAATGTTGGTTTTAAGAATATTTTAAATAAGACTAAGTTTGAACCATTTAATAATATACAGCTGTGGACCACAACAGAACATGTTGTGCCATCATCATACACCAGAACATCACGCCCTTACTGTTTGCAGTTTGTCCGGCTCTGTTCCCTCTGGTCGAACCTTATCAGCAGCTGTTAACGTGTGTTGAGTCGATAAGAGGGCGCTGTCTGAGTGGCTTCTCAGTCAAATAAATCACTACTTTCCCCCGTGTAGTTTGGTTAATCCTTAATTATCACCTCCACCTTTGTCTTGTTTGCTTTCACAAGCAACATACCAATAGCTGACAACAGTGCAAAGCATAGTAAAATAAAAAAGAAAGCTGTTTTACCAGACCTGTTGTTAATTTGTACTTCTGTACTTATTCTAGAAACTGAGTGTGAGCTTTTAACACAACCTCTCCTCCTTCCAAGGTGCGTAAAAGGTAAAAAAAAAAAAAGTGTCATAGTGATTGTTGTTTTTGTTGCCTCAGTGATGTGTTTTGGGACTTCAGACACAGAATTCTGCTATTCAGGTGATAAGGTAGGCGGGGCGGGTGTTACCTTGGTTGGTTATTGGCTAATGGTTACACAACCCAGAAAAAGATTGTGACATCACAAATTGGCCAAAATCTGATCAGATAATTTTCGGTTTTTTATAGATGGATCAAGACAAAAAGAGCGAGAATCTTTTTTCCTGAAACTTGAGGGGGCACATTTTGTGAGTAAAACACTTGAACATTTTGATTTTGCATAATAGGTGACCTTTGAGAGACCTGAGACCACACATACACACTTACACCAGCTTGTTAGAAACGTTTAATTCCCTTGCCTGTACCCTTCAACACGCCCTTCACCAGGTCCTGCTGGCCAACAAAGATCTGTGAGCATGTGAAAGTACACACATGCAGTGCGTAGTGTACACACTCAACAGAGGGAAGACAGAACGGGCTTAGCTGAAGTCAGCAGCGCTACCTCTATCTGTTCTTTTCTGTGCAAACACATAGAGGAGATTTCCCCTAAGAGCAAGGGAGGAAAGACAAAAAAAGAGAATGATGTGTGAAGAATAAAAGTCAACATGGGAGTAGTTAATGTCTCTGAGAATTAAAGCAATAGAAAGCAAAAGAGAATGTATGCCAGTAAGACAGCGATACATTGAAAGCACACACATTTTATCACAGTATACTTGTTGTGTGGAGAAAGTTTGTACATGAGTGTCCTTAGTGGCACCTTATGGTGATAAGTGGCTGAGTTAAAACGTAAATATTTATACTGTTTATCTCTTAGTAAACACACATGCATGGCTGCAGTTCATGTGCTTCAGGAATACCAAGACTTAGACCTTGCACAACTGTGTGTACTTCTTTTTACGTGCACTCAAATTGAGGTACTTTATTTATTTTTCATATTATCAAATCAGTGAATTTGTCTTGAGTGTTTGGTCATGTTTCTGACGCCACAGCTCTACAAGTAAAAACAAGCTATTTTTAAAAATGACTGTCAATAACTGCAATCAGAGGACTGTTCTTTGCGATTACTATCATCATTGGTTATCAACCCATCTCTGTAACCCTTTTTTAATCTCAAATAGATTTAACCTGGGGGAGCACAGTTATTTCATATATCAAAACGATTTTTCTTTGCAAGAGCACCGATCACAACAACTTTGAAAACAGATTTTGTCGGAGCTGCAGCAAAGAACCCATATCCAAACTGCAATAATGTTTGACCTCTTTGACCATGTCAAAACCCATAATATGTGCCTCTTAGGAGGGCAATCTAACTCGATACCAAGTAAAAACAAATCACAAAACAGATGATGATGATGATGATGATGATGATGATGATGAAGATGATGAAGATGATGATGATGATGATGATGACTGTGGGTCACAGACCCTATGGTTCACCAGAGGTGCGAATTGAACAAATTCACACATAGAAAGGATCCTTTTTGAACGGCTCCTAAGAGAGCAATGTTCAAGGATCAGCATCAATGTCAATGTATAATACAGCAACATGAAATGCAGTTGTAACCACCTCCGCACACATCCAAAATATACAAAAATATATGCAACTATTTTTAATTAGAACAGGAAATAGAATAATAAAAGAAGGAATATATACAGTTTCCACACATTTACAGATATTGTTTCAAATTAAGTATATTTTGTGTGTTTGGATATGTAAAATTCACAGATCTAGTGCAATGTATACTACAGGGTGCGATAGGCCTATAACATTCGTAGAGCTGAGGTCTATTAGATGTTAAAATCCATCAGACTTTTAGTAATCATACTGTAAAACGTTCTGTTAACTTCATTTAATAAGCTTTATACAGAGACACTGGAGATTTGAGGTTAGCCTGTAATATAAGAAAAGCATTTATTTCCACAAACTCATAATGAAAATGTCATAACAAGGCTTTTAGAGAGCTCTCCTTCTCTCTGAGGAACAGGAAATAAACCCTGAGTATGTGACATTTCTACCCCACTCTGTATGTCTTTCTCACTCTATGCGGCATCAAAAAAAGAGGAGAATAGAAAATAATGACTATTTGTAGTATAGACCACCACAACTGCTTTAGCATTTCAGGGGAGATGGAAATGGATGGCTGCAGAAAACAGCAGGGGACTGGGGATGAAGTATACCTCTCTCTTTCCTTTCATTTTATTTATTTTTAAACCAGGCTTTATGTGGCTCTGTCATTTACAACCAAGCTGCCAGCCTTCTGCTGTTTTGGTTTCTATTTAACTCCACTTGTTTTAGATCGAATCGTGCACAATCAACACACGTCTCCAAGTATGCTTACTTAATTACCTAATTTCAATAGGTTATCTCTCTCTCTCTCTCTCTCTCTCTCTCTCTCTCTCTCTCTCTCTCTCTCCTCTCTCTCTCTCTCTCTCTCTCCTCTCTCTCTCTCTCTCTCTCTCTCTCTCTCTCTCTCTCTCTCTCTCTGTAGTTGGCGCTGCTTCACGCGCAAAGTCGCGTGCCTGCTGGTCAGTGCGTCTGCAGTCACTCTCAGCAGCTTGCACCTTAATCAGCTGTTGCACACGCCAGGAGGGAGAGCGAAAGTCTATATGTGTGTGAGAGAGAGAGAGTTGAGAGTATAGAGATGTCTTGAGATGGATTACTGGATGGACCTGGTTGTCCATTACGCAGAACGACTCTAATTTCTGGACATTATAAACTATGGATACTGATGGGAAAAAAACTAACAACGAGGCATAAACCGCGTTTATAAGAAAGGTAAGAGCGATAAAAGTAAACATCTGATTGAGGCTGTCTCATTTGTGTATATCACATATTCCACTGTGCCGTCCGATCTGTGAATTCATCACTTGTGCTGCAGGCTGTTGCGCATACTGTGGCAAACAAAATAGTGAGGGTGTCTGCCAAAAGCGAGTGCTTCATGGCAGATAAATATATGTTTACTAATAATAAATATTAAAACCTATTTTCAATCAAATGTGGGCTGTGACAAAGTGAAGCCTGATTTATTAAACAAGAAAACGCTTTTTAACTTACATGTGCTACTGTAAGATAGGCTATCAGTGGACTGGAACTTGCCATAATAGTGATATGATGTATGATTATTAACTAAGGTGACTGCTGTGCAGCAAGCCACATTCTCTTACTGTAATTTAACACTTGATGTGACTGCCTCATATCGAAAATGCATTGATACATCAGGGTTAAAAAGTATAACATAATTCATCATATCTACAAACCAAAAGTGAAAATATGTGCTACAGAATATATTAACATGATATTTTTCTAATTCAAGTCAAATCTGACATTTCTATACATGTGAAGAAGAAGATGAAGGTCATTTTAACTCTCATTGTGTGTCATACCGTTATGCGTAAAGTTTCTATTACCAGGTGACAGGGAGTAGAATATGGATGCTGAGGGAATCCAACACGTCGACAGAGACATGGAGGCCACTTCATGGCCTTTTTCCGTGACCACCGACTGGCAGGAGGACGGAAACGAGACGACGGGGAATCAGTTCAAGCAGCCCG